AGTGATATATGATGACAGAGCTAGAAGTCATTAAAATGATAATTACCCAAACAGCTCTAACAATGGCTGAACAGGATAAGGGGGCTGCAAAAGGAAGAAAATGGTGGCATTAAAACCCTCAACCTTTTGACTTTTTCCAGCCACAAGACATAAACAAGACAACCAATTTCTCCTAAGCCCTCCCATGTGCTCCCAGTGAGGGGTCTATAGGGAGACCCAGCCAGCCTGACCTTCCTCACCTACTGTAGTCAGGTCTGGTGGGGGACTAGGTGAATCATAGATGTGTGGGTGGCCATGGCCGGGTGAGGATTAGGGGAACACAGGTACCAGTAGAAGGGGACAGAGCCAGTCCAGGGAAGACTTCTGGGAGGAGGTGGCCACAGTGCAAACTTAAAGGAGGAGCAGCTTCCTGCTGGGGGATCTGGGTAGAGGCAGAGAATAGAGCAGTAAGGGTGGACAGGTGTTCAGATCCAGAAAGGCAGACTGGGGAGTTTGTACCCCAGATCCTTGCAGCTACCTGGGGGAGAAGAGAAAGAGGAAGGGAGGAGACAATGTGTGCAGGATGTGGGAGACCCGTTGAGGTGCCGACTGACCTGAGCCAGGAGGGAGAAGAATCCCAGCACAGCTCCACTGAGCACCCCAAGAGGCAGGCTGGCAGAACCCTGGGTTCAAATTGGAGTGGAACAGAGTGTAGTTAGGAGCCCAGAATGGTGGGTCTGTTAACAGATCTGGTTGAGGTCCACTGTGAAGTGGGTGCTGGAAGCTCAGGGTGAGGCTGAGTTCACCCAGGGTAAAGGAGAGAGAACGTTTAGGGGCAGGCAAATCTGAGGTCCAGAAGGGAGAGTGGGCAGAAGGGCAGGAGCCAAGGACCTGAGGTCTGTGGGAGAGAATGAGGACAGTCCCAGGGCAGAGGAGACCTGCAAGAGAAGGACTGAAAAGTCTGCGTTCGCTTCATCAGGTCTGGGGACATTGCTCTGGCACTTTCAGGGGACTGGTGTTAAGCCCTGAATGTCTGGAGACTCTTGAGGATAATGGAGAACAGGGGGAAGAAATTAGAAGAGGCTAAAGGGAATGCAGCAGAGACCAAGAGTCTGATGTCTCCAGAACAAAGCCCCTGCCACCGCTCCCAAGCAACAGCCACGCGGGGGAGGGGACCTGGTGGCCAGGCAGCCCCTGCCTTCCTTTCTTCACCCCTGCTGCAGACTGAAAGCACAAGAAGCTACATGCAGGGAAGCCGGGGCTCCCCCATCTGGAAGCCTGACTGGCTGCCACATCTCAGGATGCCCCCAGCCTCAGCAGGCTCCCAGGAGGGGAACCCACCCTGCCAAGTGCCGCAGGTGCCAGGGAACAGATCCAGGGCCAGCCCAGCCCTGCCAGCCCCAGACATGGGAGGAGCCACCTGTGCCATCTGGGTGTGGGGGCAGGGCCATGGTAGGCCAGGAGAGAGAGGTGGATCAGAAGTGCAGTTATTCTTACATTCATAAAATGTTTCCTAAAAGAAGACCTGGTTGCCATTTTTATTTTCGATTGTATTTTACAAAGTGGTAACGCATATTGGTAAAGATGGCAATTGTGTGAATTGATTGAGCAGAACTCTGTGCCAGACACTCTTCTGGCTTCTCCCATAAATTGGCTCCCTCGCCCCTTGTTGCCCCAGTGAAGCCCATGCTGCTCTTACATCCACTTCACAGGTGAGAAAACTGAGACTCCCTTCTCCTTGGACTTGGAGCTTTTCCCTGGGCCCTTTCCTGTTCTCAGCTCTAGGATGCTCTACTCCCGAGAGCTTCCCTACTTCTGCCCACCCTTCCACACGGATGTTGTCTAGGGGAAGCTGACCCTTTGGCCTTTCTGTCCCCATCTTCCACACATCAGTCCCCTGCCAGGGCTGTCCACTGCCTGTGGGTAGTAACCAGTCTGGTGGTTTGGCCTGCACTTCTGGGCACCCCACGTTTGTCCCTACCAGAAGGTGGCCATGGGACCCTAAAGGAGAAATGTCTGAGCCATAGTCGCCCATACAATGGAGGAGGAGCAGAAATGAAGCCCTGATCTCCACCACCCCACCGCAGGAGCCTGGTTTCAGAGTTCTGAGGCTGCCCCACAATGAACTTCTGAGGAGGGATCCGTAGTCTAAGTCCATTCATTCATTCAAGGACAGCAGTGGTGAGGGGCAGCCTGTTTTGTATTACAGAGCCCTGTTGCCTGCTTTTTGATGTAAGAGTGAGACCTCTTGAACAACGCATCCTCTCTTGACCATAGTGTGGGCTGGTGCAGTTTGGGGGCGCCAGGAGAAGGAACCTAAGTGGACCTTTAATTAGATCCTACTACCTGCCTAGCATTTCCACACGCCTATGTTTCAATCGATTTCCACCCAGGAGGACCCATTTTACAGCTGTAGAAATTGAGGCTGAGGACTGTGTCTGGAGAGGAAAGGGCCTCAACACCAGTCCTTCTTCCTAGCTCAGCGGTACTGCTATGGTCTGAAAGACAGACGACGCTCGCCTGCGTCTCAGGCCGGCACCCTTCCTAGCCGCCTCCTGGCCACTGTCAGGGCCACGCGGACCCGAGGAGACTGCCTGGCACCTGACGTCCGCGGCAGCCGAGCCCCTCCCACCCGGACGGCGCGGGCGCAGGGCTCACCTCGATGCGGTCGATGCGGTCCCGCAGGGCGCGCACCGCGTCCTCCAGCTCCAGCACGAGCGCGGGCGAGTCCCAGGCGCCGTCGGCCATGGTGTCGCGGCGGGGCCCGGCGTCCTGGAGGCCGCGCGGCAGGCCGCTCTCGCAGCGGCCCAGCTTGCCGGTGAGCTCGCGGATGGTGTCCTGGTCGGCGCGGATGCGCGCCTCCTGCTGCAGCGCCGTCTGGCGCAGCTGCTCCGCCGTGCTCTGCAGCAGCAGCAGCTCCTCGCGCTCGCCCGCCGCCGCCGCGTCGCCCTGCTCGGTCCCCGACGGGCAGGCGGCCGCCAGCGGCGTGCACAGGAAGCGGCTGAAGAGCGGCCCGGGCGGCA